CTATTGAACTAGAAGACATATCAGTATAATGGGTATGCACTAATTGTTGTGTTGATGACATTTTGATGTTGAGGTCCAAGAAATTAATAGAGAAACGTCTCTTCATTTAACTTGAAATATTTGTGTATGGATTAAACATATATGTGACCATTATACATTGGTTAAGATCATAGGCAACACCTGATAAATGTTTCATCATTGAACTATTAAATTATGTCCAAAGATTAATAATAAGATGATTGGTTGATTGTAATGATATGTTTATTTTTTGCCTTGTTTATTAATATAGTGTGTTATTATATTTTATTTCTATTATTATTTTTGTGTTTATTAATATAAGGTCATGTGCAACACATTATTTATTTATTTTGGTTAATAAATAATAAGTAAAAGACAATATCTGTTCAAAATTAATTCTCAATTATTTGACATTGAACGTTTATATCGCTAGCATTTCTGATGCTCGAATTCGAGATATAAAAAAATAACAATAATTCATTTACCACTGAGATCTTTTGATTCGTACATGTGCAACACATTATCACAATCTCAATGGGGACATGTCCCTAACTCGGTTCTAGAAAACAACACACCCTCCACTAATCCTTACTTTTTCTTTAAAAAGTTCTTATTCCATGTTCGTTGTTCTTCCAAATTAAAAGGAATACGATTTCCTTTTTAAAAAGTAATATATATATATATATATATATATATATATATATATATTCAAATGTAAAGATATTTGATTCTACACAGTTCACCCACTATAAAAAGCCCTGAATTTTATATTATTTTGGACCCAAATTAGTGGAAAAGAGGATTTGCATTTCCATATATTTGGCATAAAATATCGGTCCAAAAAATAAATCTTGTAATAAATATTAGCCGAAAAAGATACATATAAGGGGCATAAATATTAAATATATAGTTTATAAAGAAAATGAAAGGCCTTATCCTTATCCCACAACGTCCTTGCTTTGTACTTTGCACTGTCCTGCAATGTATTCACCACTACCTGCTCCTACTTATCCACAAAGCTAGGGTTTCATTCAGCGAATTTATTTATTTTTAGACATATTAATCTACAAGTAAATAATGTAAATATTTTATTTTTAATTTAAGAAAAATAACTTGTTGTATATAATTTATAGATGTTATACTATTTGATGGATATGTATATAATTATTAAGATTTTCGGTCTACGTATATCATTTAATATACCATAAATGATGAATAAACTTACCAACTACAATTTATTAGTTATTGTTATAAAGAAATATGTAATTGTTTCAAAATTTGATAAAATATCTATTAACTAAATTGGTTTTCATATACAATGGTTAAAAAATTATTGTAATTCTTAGAGTCTTCATATTATCAAAAACTATAAAATATGTAAATATTCATTATTAAATTACTGATAATTTTTAAAAGATAGATACTACAACTTATAATCACTTTAAATTAATAAAAACAAAATATTGCATGGACCAAAGCATCTTTAAATTTCATTATCATATACGCTACGCCTTATAATATTTTTATATTATATATTATATATCTAATTTCATTTTGGTTCTCCTCATTATAGAGACTACTTTTTGTCAAACTTAAAACTCAGTCTAAATTAAACTCAAATCCTGAATAGTTTAGATCAAACTCTTTCCAATTAAACCTAAAGCTCAGGTCTAACCAAAAGACTCAACCCACCAAATTGAATCTCACGTACTAAACTTGAAATAGTAATGAATTCAATAATATTTTTTAAAATAGACGCATATCAATCATGATGACTTAAAGGTGCATTGTCATTAACTTCAAGCCTCACTAAATTGAGTCTCTTGTCCGAGTTGACCATTTAGAGACAACCACTAGAAGACTAATGCCACTCATAAAGAATGAATCTAGGGGCATGTAAAGATAATTGTTATCTAAAAATTTAAATTTATGGTATATTTAATTTTTGGGTAAACTACACGGAAGACCACTAAACTATGGTCAAAATTCAATGTGACCACTGAACTTTCAATTGAACCAATCAGACCACCCAACTATTTAATTGATTCAATCAAACCATCGGGCCGTTAATTTTTAACAGAAGAGGTGACATGTTTGTTAATAAATTGGCATAATTTTATATTTGGTCCTTAATATTTACATATTTTATCAATTTAGTCACTATTTCAATCCAATTAAAAAATTTAATTATCCAATTAGAACGTGACATGTGTCAATATATGATTGAAAGGTTTTATTTATGAATTTTAAATTATTTAATTAAATAATTTTTCTATCCAATCAGGCGGTGACACGTGACACCACCCAATTGTAATGAAAATAAATGGACAAACTTGGGCCGAAGGTGAATTGAACTAGGGACAATGGGGTAAAGCTTCTAGACGCCAAACCATTGGGCCAAAGGTCCCTAATGATTTAAAGTTACAACAATTTGTATTTGATTTATAAGAGTTTGTTAAGGATAAAAAACTAAACAAATTATTTGTTTAAACAAATTATTATTTAAATTAATTGTAAACTGTTTTTAGAAATTAAAAATATTCAATTTTTATATAAATTAGAAAATTAAAAAAAATCATTAATTCAATAATTGACCGAATTAAACGAAATTTTTCGGTTCGTTAATAAATTTCAAATAAATTTTGTTGATTCATGGTTAAAGAAAAAATTTGTTAATTCGGTTTGGTTATTAATTTTCAAATTAATTCGGTTTGATTAATAATTTTCAAAGAAATTTTGGTTCAATTAACCGAACTGAATTAACCAAATTTTTGCTTCGATTAGTTCGATTAATAATTAAAAAAATCAGTTAATTAGGTTCGGTTAATGATTTTCAAATTAATTCGGTTAGGTTAATAATTTTTAAATAAATTTTTGTTCGATTAACCGAATAGAATTAACCGAATTTTTACTTTGATTAATTCGATTAATAATTAAAAAATCGGTTTATTTGGTTCGGTTAATAATTTTAAATTAATTCGGTTCGGTTAATAATTTTCAAATAAATTTTTGTTCGATTAACCGAACCAAATTAACCGAATTTTCGCTTCGATTAATAAATTTTCAAAAAAAAATGATTAATTTGGTTCTGTTAATAATTTTCAAATTAATTTGGTTTAGTTAATAATTTTCAAATAAATTCTGGTTCGATTAATAAAAATCGGTTTAACCAAATCTTTGCTTTGATTAATTCGTTAATAATTTAAAATTTTTTGGTTAATTCGGTTCGGTTAATAATTTTCAAATTAATTTGGTTCGGTTAATAATTTTCAAATAAATTTTGGTTCGATTAACCGAATCGAAATAACCGAATTTTTTCTTTAATCGTTAATCAAACCAAAATTTATTTAAAAATTATTAGTTGTGAATAATTTATTTAATAATTTTAATAATTTGTTTAAACAAATAATTTGTTTAGTTTTTTTATCCTTAACAAACCCTTACAAGTCAAATACAAATTGTTATAACTTTAAATCATTGGGGACATTTGGCCTAATGGTTTGGCGCTTGGAAGCTTTACCCAATTGCCCTGTTTTGATTCACCTTAGGCACATGTTTGTCTATTTATTTTCATTTTAATTGGGTGGTGACATATGTCATAACTTGATTGGATAGAAAAATTATTTAATTAAATAATTTAAAATTCATAAATAAAATCTTCCAATCATATATTGATGCGTGCCATATTTTAATTGGATAGTTAAATTTATTTAATTGAATTAAAATAGTGACTAAATTGATAGAATATGTAAATATTAAGGATAAAATATATAATTATACCAATTTATTAACGGAGATGTCACCACTTCTGTTAAAAATTAACGGCACGATGGTTTGATTGAATCAATTAAATAATTGGGTTGTCTAATTGATTCAATTGAAAGTTTGGTGGTCACATCGAATTTTGACCATAGTTTAGTGGTCTCTCGTGTAGTTTACCCTTTAATTTTTTATGTATTTTTTTAAAAATATATTTTTGTCTCTTAAACTTTTATAACGTAATTGTTCGAACTTAAAATATCTTGGGAAAACAACTAATTTAGAATTCATGTAATCAAAAAAACGTTGCAATAGATCTAAATTTAATAACATAATTTTAACGTTATTAACAATTGAGTTTAGATTTTTAAATAAAAAAGCAATAACAATTGAGGGATTAAATTTTAAATGTATAAAGAGTATAAAGACTTAAAACCATTAATCTAAGTAGCATCAGTTTGTTAAAATCATGGGAAGGCATAGACAATTGAACATGTCTTTGCATATGTAATACTTAAAATATATAAGAATACAGAGCACGAATCAGGCCAGACGACGATGCAAGTTTGTGGGTCTTATCTTCTATAATTCAATAAGTATATATTAAAGATTAATACCCAATTAATATGATATATGTATTATGAAATCTTATATTGATTAGATATTAATGTTTTCGAGTGTTTAAATATAATAGTTTAATTAATATACTATTATTGAGGTGATTAAAGACAATGTTCACGCACACGCATCTTTGACGTGTTAATTTTTTTAATCGGATCATCGATACGCTTTTTAACCCTTTCAATGACATGTAAGGTAAAAACAATATGTTAAACATTTTTTTTCATAACTTCTGATAAATACTTTTAGCGTGGCATGTCTTTATTTATGTAATATTGAAAATTTATTTTTGATAAACAATTTTGAAATAGTGTTATTTAAATAAATTAGAAAAATAGGCAAAATTTTCCATTATTTTAGCTTAGGTCTCTATTTTATTTTACTTTTCTAGAATCCTAAACCAACGAAGGTGTTAACTGCCTTTCTTCTGAACCCTCCCCTTTTTCCTCCCAACCCACCGAATATTCCTCTCTACAATTCCTTTCTTTTCTCTCTATATAATCCCCTCATCCTTCCCAGATTTTCCCTAAACCAAAACCAACAACAAAGAAACCAAAAGAAAATCCTTAAATTTCTACCAAAACAAACAGAAAACTCTCAATCAAACAAAGGAAAAGCCTGCAAATGTTGAGTCAAGCATTGAAGAACAAGTACCAGCCCTGCGAAGAGATCGGTAGGGGCCGTTTCGGTGTCATCTCTCGAGTGTTATGCGCCGTAACCCAATGCCCCTTCGCCTGCAAAACCATCGACAAACGCCTCCTCTCCGACTCCACCGATCGGGAATGTCTGGAGAACGAGCCCAAGATCATGTCGCTTTTGTCCCCCCACCCCAATGTCGTCCAAATCCACGACATGTTTGAATCGGAACACACCCTTCAACTCATCCTCGACCTCTGTCAGCCGGTCACCCTCTACCACCAGATCCTGCAACACGATCTGTCAGAACCCAAGGCCGCTTCTTACATGCAACAGCTCATGTCGGGTCTGGCTCATTGTCACAGGTTCGGGATCGTTCATAGAGACATCAAACCCGATAACATCTTCTTCGACTTCAGGGGGAATTTAAAGATCGGTGATTTCGGTTCCGCCACTTGGTTGACGGGGAAGCTCGGCACCGCTGATGGGTTGGTCGGGACGCCGTATTACGTCGCGCCGGAGGTCGTGATGGGTCGGCCTTATAACGAGAAGGTTGACGTCTGGAGTGCCGGCGTCGTTTTGTACGTCATGCTGGCCGGCGTTCCGCCGTTTTACGGCGAAAATGCACAGGAGATTTTTGAGGCTGTTTTGAGAGGGAATTTGAGGTTTCCTTCGAGGATTTTCAGGTCAGTCTCTTCTGAGGCTAAGGATCTGTTGAGGAAGATGATTTGCAGAGACGTTTCCAGGAGATTTTCTGCAGAACAAGTCTTGAGTAAGTTCTTGAAAAAAAATTAATCTTTTTCTGGGAAAAACCAAAACTTCAATCAAATTGCTAAATGAATGTTTCTTGTTTACGAAATGCAGGGCACCCATGGATCTTAAAGGGAGGTGAAGCAATTCCAATGGATTGATCCAATCAAAAAGCATTGAAAAAAGCTGGGAATCATCCTCTATCAAAAGCATACATAAATAAAAGCTTATCAAGAACAAAATAATAGCTTATCAATGTAAATATAAGGCTCTGTTTGCCCGTTAAGAAAATGGTCCCCAAGCTTCATCTTCCAGTTTTCCAATGCAATGCAAGTTTATTACACAGAGAGCTGAGTTTCTTCTTCACATGGAGGGGGTCCATCAACCCTATCAACATCTAATCTGGTCTTATTTTCTCTGCTTTTGCTGTTTGGTTAATGTTTTGAGAACTAAGCAACAGAGTACAGAGTGTACATAGATAAAGTATTAGGTTTTAGAGAACTAAACCTCCTCCTTTACTACTGTTTTTTTTTATTGTTCAAAGTATGAAGGAAGTGAGAAGAATGAAAAAGCAAGCCTTTGCTTTTTCATATATGGGAATATCTTGTAACCCTTTTTTCTGGGAAAAATTATATATATATATATATATACATATATTAAAGTTTTGGTATCTGATTTTGTATCTCTTTTTTATGGGAATCTTATGTTGTTCATCATCTGTGTATGTACTAACAGCATGTACTTAGGCATATGCTGTATGCTGAAAGAACATATTGGAAGTGCCAGCTGACTTATTCTTTCCATATTGACAAATTATATATGTGAAATGAAATGAAAGATTTGAATTGCAAAGTCATATGTAGAAGCTTGGTACCGAAGTCTAAAGAATCAAAAGTTTTGGGGAGCAAGCTTTGCATGTTAGCATATGCTTGGTTTATTATCTTTCTTTTTTGTCATAATGACAAAAGGCATCTCTAATACTTAAATAAATAGTTAGTTGATCTATATATATATTAGTATTTTAGTTCGTGACGTTTTATTTTATGATAAAAAAGTTCAGGGCCGTGGCTAGGTTGTCGGAGGTCCTGTACAAATTCTTATAAAGGCCCCCCTATTTTATAGATATATTAGATTTCAAGGCAACAATAGTGGTATTGTTTTGACAAACGCCGCAATAGGTCCATCTATAGTAGCGTTTTTTAGTAAAAGCCCGAAACAATAGTGGCGTTTCTTGAAAAACGCCGTAATAAATCTATCTATAGTGACGTTTATTGAAAAAACGCCGCTATAGATATACTTTTTTTGGGGGCACGATCGCCCATCTCGTACCGCCCCGGCCACGGCACTGAAAAAATTCTTCTGGAAATGAAAATTATTAGTTAATAAACAATTTATGCTCCAAAAAATAAGAAGAATTTAGATAAACTTTAGAATTTTTTTTCTCTAAAATAAAATACTAAAGATAAAAAAATTCCAAAAATATAATTATTTTATCAAAGCTTAAAATATTGTTTATTTAATTTTAATATTTATTAATTAATGCATGATTCTTTGCACAAAATAAAAATTCCTACCTGTTCGAAATAAAAATAAAATTTTGTAATCAAAGTTTTGCTATAACTTTGCATATATGCTTCTAGAATCAATCTAATTCAAATATTTTATATTTAATTTCTGGGGGGGGGGAATCCCTGGAATCTTTGACACGTGGCATGTGAAAGTGGGGAAAGATGCAAACGTGGTTAGGTCTGAAAGCATGTTGCAGTATCCAGTACATAGTTTTTTTTTTAGTTAAGAAACCGACAATGTTGTCATCCAATTTTCTGTTGATGGGTCCTTGTAAAAAAAGGGGTTCTGAGTAGGCATAAAGTAACGTAAGATCAGCAATGTAACATATCAGGAATTCAGCTGGTTGTTGATATAATAAACACAACTATATGGCTTCACATGTATACCATGTGACAACATCTTTGATAACTTATCACAAGCTCTATTCATGAGATTAATAATCCCATATTTCTTTTGTATCAAATTTTACGTGATAAATTTATCAAGTGATGTTACTAATAAAAATTAAAGATCTTGAATTCAAATAATTTAATCTACAAGATATATATATTTAATTATTTTATTTTATAATTATCGAGACTATTAAAAAAAGTTTCTGCGTGTTAATACATGTCGGTTCATTTTCATGACTCTTGGGAACAAATTTTATTAGTAGCCAAACAAGCAAAAGTGTTTGTACTTTCTCCAATGTGTCCTGCCCTCAATAAGGGAGTATAGTACCCCAAACACCATCAATGCTTTCACCTACTCCATGTGCCAACTGCAAAATTTAGGTCCCACCCATGTGATGCTTTACTTTTTAAATTCCACCATATACATATACATATTTAATTCCTATGAGTAATTTAATTCTTAATTATTTGTGGTTGGAGCCATGGTCTTTGTCTATATTGATGACTTGTTTGTCGTTATATTCAAATTACAATATAAGAAAAATGTTGTTACTTGTACAGATTGAATCAAAAGTCTTTCATGAATCATGGCACGAATTTCTTGAGACCTATCTTCTGCGACATAACTATAATATATAGAACTATATAATATAAAAAAATTATAAAAGAAAATACATTAAAACAGAAATTTTGTGGAGTAAATTTATTTGACTGATTGATTAAACTGTTCATATTTATTCTTTTATATTCTCTCATCTTAATTCCTTCGTATGATTATTAGATTTAAAATTTATCATAAATAAATTAAAATTTTGAGATTATATATCCTACAGATGATATTAGTCAAATTTAAGATCTCTAATTTATATATTATTTAATTATCTAGATAAGTCGATGAATTCACAATATAATGCGGAAAAAAATTGTGGGGTACATTATATGTACAAACATTAAATTAAATAAAATTTATGAAATTTGGTTGAAGATGTGCACGTATCAGTGCGGCTGCTGATCACATTTATATTGAATTTTCTGGTCCTTCTAGAATTCATATTTTCTTTTCTTTTATTTATTAAAAAACAGCCATTTTCTTTGACCATTGAGAAACTATCCCACCAGTCTTTTAACCGAAACTTTACTTGAAAATGCAACGATATTTGTTAGTTTGAGTAATAAAAAATATATTTTTTAAATGGATTTTTGAATTTCGTGTATAAAAATATTATATTATAATAATTTTTTTTAAGAGTTTAACTTAAAAAATCTTTCAATACCACAAAAAATACTTTCATTCTTTGTTCTTCTTTTTTGAAATATTTATAGTGTAATGAAAAGCATTAGAATGATTTTATCAGCAAATAATACAAATTTAAATTTTAAAAATATTATTAATGAAAAGAATAATCACATGTTATTTGAAATCAAGGGGCATATGATTATTCGAAATCAAGTAGTATCTATGCTATTCAAAATCGAGCTTGATTTATGGAGTTGTGGAGTTTTTATATTGATCTTTAAGTGGTATAGATTCACGATCTTGAACAGCTCCAAGTGTAATTGGAATGTACTAAAACTGTGAAGTTATTCTTTATCTAGAGTACATACTTCAACTATCTCTCTCCAATAAAAGTCATCTATGTTATTCGAAATCAAATCTGGTTTACAAAGCTTTTTTTAGATCCTATTAGAATGTAATATGGTGGCCGGTCGATTAGCGAAGACGTCCATTATTGAATACTATCGAATTTTATTACTTAACTCTATATCGGTCGATATTTAATTGTTTATTTCAAGAGATATATAAGTATCTCCATATTATAAAATTATTCGTTTTTAAATCGACTTAAAAACACTTTCTTATAACATGATGAGTCGCGTCAACAAAATTAATAGACAATCATAATCCAGTTTTTGTACAATTAGATTACGGAAAAGATAAGGGATGTCCCTCTCAAAGATAATTGAAGAAAGTAAGAAAAGATTACTATGTTGACAAAAAGGGGAAAAAAAGAGTGAAGAGAACACAAAAATATACTGTTTTTCAACTTAAAATGTAGGCTTTATTTTTGGAGAATAAATCTTTTAAATTTTTGTACGAACAGAACGATTTTAGTGATATAAAATTATTGTTGATTTTTAAGGTTCTGGATTCGAGCACATGAATGATCTCAGTGATAATTTATATATAAATTATTCCAATAAAATAAAAAGAAATAAAATCGTGGCACTAGGAAGAGAGAAGATTTGAACCCATAATCTACTTAAACCATTGAGCTAGGTTAAAACTTCATTAAAATTTACTCATTTTTATATTAATTATCAATGAATTATAAGATATATTATCTATTAAAAATAATTTTCTTAAAAAAATATTAATTTACTAATGAATACTTTAATATAATCCATTAACAAGATATATTTCATTATTAATAAATTATATATAAAATCATAATACTTTACTACGAGATTAGACCCTCTTTCTTTTATTGATTTTTAGAATAAGAAAATTACATCAAAATTAGAATAATTAAGTTTCTACCCTAAAAAAATATTTCTCCTCTTTTATAATAAGCACTATATAAGAAAATAATAATTTATTTATTTTTACTATGTGAAGTCATTTTTTTTGGTTACAGGTAAAGTCAATTTTTATTAAATGAAATAATAAAATTTATCTCACGAGATATAAACATTATTTGAAGTTCGAGTTTTACTATGTATACATATTATATATAAATTTAAATTTATCTTTTTGTTGATTAATCCGAACATATTTTAATTATTAAACTAATTATGTATTATTGATGTAATTTTACTTGCACTTAAAAAAAACAAGTTTTGGGAACAAGTGTATCAGATATATTTTTAGGTGTAAATTTTGGAAACAAAACTTTAATTTAAAAATAAAATACAACACTTGTAAATTTGACTGTTTTTTATCCCAAAAGGGAAGCAAAGTAAATTACTTTTTCAACCTTAGAATATGAGTGATTCTAGAATGCATGGCTTAATTTTCTCGAGAAAATTAAACAGGTTAGAAAAATTAGAGAAGTGCATGTGCTTATACCAACAAAGGCTCTATAAATAAAATAACTTGTATAATAAGTCATATAAAATTTCCATTTAAATCCCATGTGAAATATGTTTTTTTATTAATATAATATAAATACAATACAATATTTGTTCAAAGATAATTCTCAACCATTTGATATTGAACATTCACCCCCCCTAATATTTATGATACTCAAATCTGAAAGCTCAATG